AGACAGGGAGAAGGTCGACCCTTACACCGTGACGGACGAAGACTTGGCTGCGTCGGTAGACGCGTTGACTAGGAGGTTGAGCAACATGCCTGAGTGGTCGGGAAATTGATCGACCCTGCGAAGTCTGCTGAGCTGGTCGCGGCGAGGTGGGGCGGAAAGGCGAGTTATGACAAGCCTGAGGCTCCTCTGACTGAGGCTGGGATGAAGAGTGCGTCATTGGAGGATCGTGCCTACGCACTATCGCAGCTGAATCAGATGGTGAACTTTCACAAGAAGCACCTCTGCTCTGGGCGAGGAGCGCCTCTGGTGAGTGCAGCTGCCCCTAGTGGGCCCTTTGCTCCTGACCAGTTGGATGATAGCAGGAAGTTCAGGCCTAGTGGGGCGGCGAGCAAGATGACCTACAATCTTGTGATACTGGATGGGAAGGAGGATTATCTTGCCGATAGGCGAGAGATCAATCCAGAGTTAAGGGAAACGGGAGTTATCCCTGATGAGGCCGTCACTTGCCAGATTGTGGTTCCCTCGAAGACGAGGTTGGGCGAATACCTCCCGAACTACGAGGAGACCGTGGGCACTGTTGCAGGACGGGAGGCGGCGAAGGAGTTGATGAGACTGCTCTCGTGCGATTTCGACGGCTTGGTCATCAATTCAAAGAGAGTCTCGGAGTTATTCGAGGAACGTGTGCTGAAGGAGACCGGATGCGAGGCTGGAAACTGGGTGAAAAGTGACCAGGCCATCTGGTTCCTGAAGGAGATTTCGGGCATGGAGAACGCTGAGATGTCTTGGAAGTTCTTCATTCCGACGCTTAAAGCTTTCCCGATAGGGCAAGTGGAGGCGATGCTCATGGTCATGTACGACGGGGATGGCGTTCTCCTCAAAGAGAGCACCAGGTTGGTTGCCGTTAGGCACACGCGGATCGGACGCGACTTGAGTTACAGTGCCGTTAGGCACAGGTATACTCAGGAAGATGCACCTGGCGGATCTCTGATGTATGAGATGCATTGGAATGAACTCCCCATGGTGGGATACGTCATCATGAAGTTCTCGGACTTTCGGAAGGCGGTTCAGCTCCAAAGGGTGAGGCGAAATGGAAAGGCCATGATCGAGATATTGATCACGAGGCCCGATGTGTACGAGACCATTGGGGATGGTAGGCAGGATGAGGGCCTGATCCCACTTGTGGGAGCCATGGCGCCGGATGCTGAGGTATCGCCTTCGTGGTATGTCAGGGACAGGCTGCGGAACTACTCCGGTAGGTACGTGGTGGTAATGGTGGATCTTCGGGTGCACTGGTCCTTGGTTGGACCCGTGTTTTTGACGAGAAGGAAGACTCTTGCCGTTAGGAACGAGATCCACATGGGGGCTTGGAAGGCGGCATATATGTACGATGATTACACGATAGCGTACCATCGGGCATGGGACTACGGTGACTTCACCCCCGTTAGGGGAGAGCACAGGCGATCACGGGAAGAGATCAGGCTGAATGTGACTGCCACGTTCTGCTTGAGGTGCGCAGAATTGATGCCAAATGGGATGCACTTGTGTCCGGGTGCGCGCTCCCGGTCTTTTACCCGAACTTTATCCCCAACGCGGAGGAAAAGGACTTCGAAAGGTGCCACATCGTGCCGGAGTGGGTGAGGACCATGGGGCAGTTCAAGCCCAGGAGGATTCCCTCCGAAGTGGTCGGAGTCATCAAGAGGAATTTGATTTCCTATTCGATGGCATCCGATCTGAGGATGACGGTGCAGAGCGGCATCAGACTTCCCCCTTATCTTGGTGAAGACAAGGGAGGTGTCGATGCGGCGTGGGATGAGCTGGCGAAGGTGCTCTTCCAATTCTCCTATGTGTCCGGGATTTCGGCCTCGGATGCGTTCGTGGAGAAGTGGGTGGCGAAGCACCTGATCAAGACCAACCAAGTCGATAGATTTGAGTCGGTCACGGAGTACTTCCGGGCCAACCCAAGACACGCTGCTCAGTGGGGTAGGCGTATGACGACTTCCGTTAGGAAGTTCGCTCGTCATGACACGTACTTGTCATTCTATATTCCGATGGCATACGTGATTGGTTCCGCGGCTGGTCATCTGACCCCATTGTACCCGACCCATCGAAAGGACGTGGACATCCTGGAGAGTCATGCGTTGATGTCGCAGCTCAGGAGTACATGGTATCGGAGACAGGGTACGATGAGAAGAAGAGGTTGAAGGAGGCGATAGCCAAGGTGCAGAAGGCGATCAGCGCCGGACAGTCGGAGCCTCCCGCACCCTTCCGTGACCCGTTCGTCTACGTTAGTGACGAAAGGGTGAGGACGGTTCTTGACGGTCGTCAACCCGAACCATTGAACGTGGACATCGAGGGACTCCAATCGGTGCATCATGCTGCGCCGGGTCCTGGTCCCAAGCAGGAGCCGGTCCCCAAGGGCGGAAAAGGAAAAGGGAAGAAAGGGGAAAAGGGCGGTAAGGGCGGTAGTCCTTCCGGCCCACCACCAAAATCAGGTGAAGTGCCAGGTAAAGGATCTGGTAAGGGCGGTAGCCCATCTGTCCCAAAGGCGAAGGATGATGCTGGACCTGCTCCGATGGAGGTTGATACAGCAGCAGCTCAGCCGAAGAAGTCTTGGGCCGAGATGGTGGTTGAAGGGGCCAGGCCGAGTGCTAAGGCTAAAATGACCCCGGTTCCTAAGGCCGAGCCGAGAGGGAAGGCTGCTTCAGCATCTGAGGCGAAGAGTGCTCCGGCTCCAAAAGCTGTGGCTAAGGAGACGAAGCAGGCCGAACCGAAGGTTGAGGTCAAGAAGGAGAAGACAGGCGGAGGTGACGCTCCCGGCGGTAGCCGCGGGTCGGCCGAAGGGCAGAAGAGAGAAAGGAAAGCCCGTTGGGATCCCGACGAGGCTGCGAAGGAGTCGACAAAGCGGGAGGCGTCCACGAGGCCTGGCGACGTCGACAGCAGACCAGGTGCGGCAGCGAGAGAAGCTAGCGGGGATGATCTTCACTCCGCGCTTGGCAGATCTTCGGCAAAGGATGCGGTAGCGCCTTTGACGGCCTCCAAGGCGATGGCAAAGAAGCCTGAAGGCGGGGAGATCCGGCTGCAGTCTGCTGAGCGGGCTGCGGCGAGCCCGGTGGAGGGTCACTTCCTGGTGCTGCCTGAGAGTTCGGTGGTGGACGCTTTCTTGTCGATCTCCACCAACAGAGTGCTGAACAAGCAGGTCAGTCAGGAATGGTGAGGACGCGTCGGCACTGGAGGCTCTCAACCAGATCGTGACGAACTCTCGATCTGGGAGGAGGCATAGGGAATCGGATGTTTCCCGTACTCCTTCTCGGAGGTCCGTTAGGACCGTGGACACCAGGGATTCCAGAGAGTCGAGGAGGCGCAGATATCGTCCGCGGCGCGAGGATGATCGCGACAGGAGGAGGGACGATGCTCGTGATCGTCGTGATGATGATTCACTCGATCGGGAGCGGGATCGAAGGCGAGATGATCGCAGGAGATCCGAAAGGGATCGTGATAGGGACCGTGCGCGGGGCGGACGTGACCGGAGGAGACGTGACGATAGCCGGTAGGCTGAGTCACGAGGATTGCGGCCGATAGGCTTGCGTCCATTCTCCAATGGTCGGCGCGGTGCGGAGGTGATGATGTTCCTCCCGGACCGCTGAGGCGCGGAGGTCATGTCTATCCCATACCGCTGCTGGGCTGCTGGACGTGTTCATCAGGAAGCAGTGTGAGTGAGAGGGAAAGCAAACTGATGGGGGGTTACTCCCGGGTTTGCGGAATTCAAGCATTTTTCAGGTACGCATGGTCAGGGGTACCTCTTGCCGTTAGGCGAGGGTACTAATGGACATACGTTATCTTTTATTTCATGGCTTCTGATAAGAATTAAACTTCTTGCATTGTTGATGCAAACAGTTGTGACCTAGTGTCGTCATGTGGACCTTTCCACAAGGTATGTTGGACAGCGTTACCCCGATTAATTCGGGGTGGTGGCGGGAATTTAATGCCCGGGATGTCGCGCAACTGCCTTTGTGGGTTTGCTCCACCGCTGACGGCGGTAGTGTCCAGCTGTTTGCGGACGCATGCGAGCAGTTAAATCCTATCAGTAAATGGCACGCTCCACCCGTCATATGACGGGCTCCTCGTGAGGGGGGTGTGATTAGCCATGGTTCATATCATCATCAGGGACGTCGCGTTAGTGACCGACCTGTGGTGTTTTGGCTCAAGATTTTGGGTTCCGTCGCGCCTCGAATGGGCGTCGCCGAGCCCCTGCGTCGACCGACGGCATCTCGGGGGAGAAAGAGACCTCGGGCCGCCGCCAGGTTGGTAGGGACCAGTCGTGCGGCCTGTTGTCGACCAAGGTTGCGGGTTAACCCTTTTCTTGTTTGGTTTGTTTTCCTTTGGTTGTTGTTCTCTGGTGTGTGGGAAACCCTGATCTTTGGGACCGGGGATTGGTTTGCTTTTGGGGAACCTTTCTTTTGTGGCTTGTTTACCCCAACTTACCCATTGCCTGGGCACAGGCTCGTGCCCGAATCACAGATATAGAAAGTGTGAGTCTTCCAACTGAAAAGAAGCATTAGACTGCTAGCTTGGTTCTTCCGACTGATTCTTGCCCGCGATAGAAAGAAGAGGTAGATGCGCCTGCCCGCCCGTGACCCGCGGGCAGCGCAGAGAAAGACAGAGCGCAAGACAAAGAGAAGGAAAGAAAGATGGAAAAGGGATAAATAAAAGAACACAGCAAATTAGGACAGAGAAAAGGAAAGAAAGAAGCCGCGAAAGGAACGAGGAAAGAAGGACAGAAAGAAGGAAGCAGAGAAAGCAAGAAAGGAAACGCCGAATCTACTGGTATGTTTTTCAAGCGTCGCCGAAAACGCGAAAATAAGAATATACTAATATATGTTCTATGCGTGTCAAGAGTCCTCATGGTGGCACTGGACCACGGCGAAGGAAGTTATGATAGACCCGATTTGCCCTGGTTCCTATTGGCCCAACGAAGCTTTTTACTCGCTTCCTCGGTTTAGGACTTGCGACATCAGCCCGGCGCAGAGGCCGGAGGGTGCGTAGGCCTCGAAACACGGTGGCCCACTGCCAACCTGAGGTCAACGGTTTAGAAATAGATGCGGTCCACCGGTTTAGAAGGGGTTTCTGCCCCATCCACCCTCTATTTTACCTGAAGGAGAACTATGTGGGTGACTCTCTCAAATGGAAATGGGACCTCCATGGCCGATGTTTTCGCAAAAATATCTATTGATGGGGGGCTGAATTTGATGATAGGGGGAAGGGATGTCTTTCATCTGGTTTCCCCTTGAAACCAACCAAAAGAGGGCAATCCACGGTTGGGTTTGGACACGTCAATCACTTCCTGGTGGCATTGGATTGCTGTCGCAGCATGGGCCGCTCTTGTCACTCTTGTCATGGCAAGAGCACATCAACTTGAAAGAACAGTGTGGACTTTTTTAGCCAATCCCCTGAGCTTTCCAGGCGAGGGAATGTCTTGGACATTGCTGTTGGTCAAAACCGTGTTGGGATCCCATTTGGCGGTAGGTGCACCACCCATGTAGTCTATTTCGGGATCTGACTGGGGGTACGGGATTTTGACCCATGGCCGCATCATTTCTGCTTTGCAGGTGATTGCATCCTGAGGACCTGGTGCATGCTGAGCAACGTGTGAAATGCATGCGTGTGAGACTTTTAACCGAGAAGGTCACACACGCAGAAGACATCTGGGATTCACAAGCACCACTGCTTGCTGATTGTGCCAAGCCTTCAGAGTACAGCGCCACATAGGTATGCCGTGGTGTGTCACATTCTGTGAAGTTACCGGTACTCCTTGGTTTCGCCATTTGGTCTTTGAGAGCCAGCCTTGACAAAGGACTCAAATAGAACAACTCAGCCAGGATCACCAGACGGTTCTATTGGGAGATTGAAAACAGCAGATTTCGGCCCCTTTGGATGCGCGGGACGCTGTAGCTTTGCGTTTGTGACTGGGGCTGCTTCGCGCATGGCGCAAGTGCGGGCAACAACCACCTTTCGTGGGGTGAAGTTTCGTTGCTGAAGGCAAGTCAGATTCGGATGACCCAGACACAATTTGCAGTCACCATGCAACGACCCGACATAAATTCCTTGCGACATCTCTGTTGACACGTTGTGTGATCAAGCAGACTGATTAATTTGTAGCGATGATCAGTTGCTCATGGGCACACCTTGGTGGATTCAATGATATCTTCTTTTCGGATCTCCGGTCACTGACAAGAGAGAGAGAGAGAGAGAAAAGAGAGAAATGAAGAGAGAGAGAGAGAGAGAGAGAGAGAGAGAGAGAGAGAGAGAGAGAGAGAGAGATGGAGAGGGAGAGCGAGAGATACGGGGGTAGAGAGGGAGAGAGCTGGAGAGGGACAGAGCCTCAACTGTTGCAACACACATGCATTGGCGACTAGCAGATGGAGATCAGGAAAGGTTATTGTGCACATTGCGCTACGTGCTTTTGGTGGTATGGCTAGGAACTTTTGTTGCGGTTCCCTTTCTCTCCGTCCCTTCTGTATCTCTTATTTGTGAGAGAAGGAACGAAGAGACAGACAGTGGGTGAGCGCATTCCCCTCCTTCTAGAAAGGTAACCAGGTGAGGCTCTAGGGGACAAGTCCCCTGGATTAGGTTGGTTTCGGAAGTGACATGTGTCAGCTTTATTGCTGCTTTCAAGCTCGTCGCTGGCCTTTTTTGCCACTGGAAGGTATCAACTAGGCAATTGTAGCATCGCTTCCCCACGTAGATCTCATCAGCATAGGACCTAGCTCATCAGTTTATCCGCTCAGCATGAAGCCGACCGACCCCGTACCGCCTCCCCATTGTGTGCGCGCAGATGCGGCCATCTCGGGACCCCACAGAGGACCTGCCATTGCAGTCAAGTGCGGCTGGGGAGGGTCATCCCCTGCAGGCAAAGTGTGAAAGATGAATTCTGAGTTTCAGCAGGGCATAATCCTTCTCTAATTACACTGATTTCTGCAGGACGAGAAACGGGGTAAGAGCCTCTAAATCGATTTGAGCAGCGCCAAAACCCCAAGAAGGCCTGGCAAACAATATGACGCCGGGCGCAAGAGCTTCCGCACATAAAATAACAAAATTTGGTTTTTGGACTTGTGAGGGCGGGTTGTGCCGGCCATTGTGAGCGTAATGCAAAACATGCATTCTGAATCTGCGAAAGCTCCGCGAAAGTTCCAATTGCCCAAAAGCATCCTGTTTGTTTCGTTCCTTCGTAAGCATCATCATCATCATCACCATCATCAGCATCATGCTATCAGCATTGCTTGCATACACGGTAAATTCTCGTACCATGCCGCTAGACCAAAGCTTCGGTGCCTCGTGACCATTTAGTCAGCATTTGATGGCACGCGATGTTGATCATAATATGTTGATGGTGGCGTTGGTGGTCCTGGCGATGGGAAGAAGTCACAGTGATGAAGGTGGAGGTAGTGGCGAGAATGATGGGAACTGGAAGCAATGACAACGTCAAGTGATGTAGAAGCAACAAGCACCTCTTTGCCCAATCAGTTTGGTGGGAGTATCTAGAGCATAATGCAAGGACATCTTTGAAACCAAGTTTGGCTCATGTGACTGGCGGGGTTTGGTGTTCCAGTATTTGCCCTTGGCAGTTTCTCTGAAATCCTGCCCATGTGCTCGGCTCCTTGAGTGTGGTCTCAATCCTGCCTGGCGCTTCGTTCATCAACCTCATGGGTTGAATATTATGTTCTATTTGGGTGGTTTCAAGCATACTTTGGTCGCAAAGTGCAAGCGAGCTTTCTGCCGGGTGATGTTCAAAGGTACACATTGTGTGTATGTTGTTCTGCATACACATATTGTACAGTTCACGGCCTGGAACATATATACTCATTTATAGGAATCCCGATTATTCCTGCGAGGAGGACATGTTCTACTTGCGCCTTCGGCTGCCTTTAGACGTAGATCTCTTTGCGCTGGTCTGCACCTTTTTACTTCAAGCCTTTGTTTTGGTGGCTTCCTTTTGTTGGGGGGCGCATGCGTAGTCATGGGCAGAACACAGTCACTTGGAGGACATTTTAGAGTGTTCAGTGCTATCTGTGTCCCTCCCTTGAACCAGTTGCCCGGATTTGCCATCAGTAGGGGCCCGTAGCCTGGGCTGTTTCTAGGTTTGTCCGGCTGGTTTACCCACTAGAAATTCAAGCACTCTGTGCCTCGCCGTGGTGTGTGTGTGTGTGTGCGTATTTGTTGCTACAGCAGATGACCACCGCTCTCTCCATTTGGGTGTGGCTCAAAATGAACCAGCAGGGGTTGCGCAGGTTTTGGTCCATGTTTCCACTTACCAGGGTTCCATTTTGGTACCGGTTTTCTGAGCCACAGCCATTTTTGGCCTTTCCTGAAGCTGCCTTAGGTCTCGGCGAAGTCAGGCTCAACTCTGTGTGTATTTCTCGATGCTCTTTCCCAGGTCGGGTTTTAGAGGGAGGCCAAAGATTTCCGGGAGCAGCCAAAAGGAAAGCCCAACGCATCTGTGGCTCTTCGTTTTGACGTCCCACATCCATGGCACACGCGCCCTGGCTGTCCGCGTGATTCCGTGGAACGGATCGCATTGCTTGAGGCTCCCTGAGAAGGGCGGCTCAGCGGAGCAGGTCCTGGAGGAGTCGACCTACCGCACCTCTGGTCCCAAAGCGCGGGTTGTAACGGACAGCCGTCAAGTTCCGGATATCCGTTGCGGATCGTTTCCCTGGACCTGTTTGTTTGTTTTTTCCAGGAGGGCACCTGGACTGGGGAAAGTTGCGCTCGGCCTTGTTCCCCTTGCGACGCCTTCGTACATTTACGACCGTTGGGATTCGCTGCAATCTCATGATAAAGTGGCTCAGTTTCCCTGGGCAAGGCCCTTAGGAGAGATTGGAAAAAATCGCCGTTTTGTTGAGAAGCAATGCAACCATTGGCCTGAGGGAGGGAACCTGTGTATCACAGACTTGGTCCACCCCGCGTCCAAGCGACTCTCGGTCTCGTCGTTGCAGCCTTTTTCCACAATAAAAGGGCTAGTGTTTTGACAGCTCACATGGACCAAACTGCTCATGGGTTCCTTGTTTGCATAAAGGGGACTGCGAATCAGACCATGTTACCGAGCATAGGCGGCAGATGTTGCACAAAGTCCCAGGATGTTATTGGGTTCCCACACTCTTTTTGGTCGGACAAGGGGCTGGGGAAGGCTGGGGGAGATCTCGGGAAGGGAAGATGTGGGATGCAGCGAGAGGATTCTTTCGAGATCAGTCCTGTGCATTTATTTCCCCCATGAAATGGGGTGTCGGTGTCCCGGCCAAATTTGAAACACGGTTATCCCTGTTCTTCCCCAGTTGCCGCCTGTTTCGGCCCAATTCTCTGCGCGCTGTTCAGCCAATTCCTGAGGCTGGTGTCGCAGCTGCAAGTTCTGGCGCCCTCCTGGAGTGTCCCACTGCTCAGATTGCAGGCGGATGGAAAGCCGGAGATTTGGGACTTGGGGCGCGCGGCGGCTTTCCTTGTCTCACTTCCCGAGTTCCATGTCGGACTGCCACTGTTGGAACAGTATGCTTGATCCAAAAGTTAGCCTTGGTCATGCAAGGACCCTAATAACAAAGGTCCCTTCTCCATGTTCCGGGTTTCGGAAAGTCATGTTGGTGGCAAATAAAGAGTCATATCTTGTTTGGCACATCCACTCTGGAAGTAGCGCAGTGATTTGCCACAGATTACGAATGAGGATTGGTGAGCCTCCCATTTTGAACGACCCAGGTGGGAGGGCGAGTGCGTGTGGGAAGATGATTCGCAGATGTCAGGATCCTAAAAGTATGTGTTGGCTTCTGGTTGGGCAGGCGGGGATAAAGAAGAATGCGTTTAAAGTTTATACCTATGGTGAAAATTCCTGAGACGAAAAGATGCCGGGGGGCATGCTTCCATGCACGTGGCATGAGTCGCTAGCAAATTATGTGCTCCTTTCCTGTCAACATTATTTCGTTATGGCCAAGAAGAGGAGCCTTTTACAGACGTATAAACCTCGCGGATTTCAGTTGAGCAAGGGGCCCGCGGCCCCGTCATAGAAAGCTCTGAGCTTTCATAGAAACCTTGGGTTCCCAGCGTTAGACCCAACCCGAGCATGCTTCTTTGGAAGTAACCTTCTTTAAAGTTGGGTTCGGGGGAGGTTACTCCTCCGCAGATTACCCTGGAACCAACAGAAGCTGTGTCCCCCAAAAGGAGTTTCCTCTTATGGATCTCCAAGTTCCATGTCAATCACCTCAGACATGTTGATCAGAATCCCGGATGTACACCCTTTGAAGAATCAAGCAGGTAGATCATTTACCGGGCCTGTCCACTTTGGTTGGAATCAGGGACCAGCCAGGCGATGCTTCTGGCGCATGGACCACCACTGTTGGGCCATTGGCGACTTGGAAATCAAGTCGGAGACTTCGCAGATGAGTTTCCTCGGGATGTCCTTGGCTTACGTCAAGCCGGGAAAGGAGTTTGAGACTTTGCCCAATCTGGGGAAACCAAGCCAGGATACAAGGGACATTGGGGGCCTTTTAGCTACCGCACACGCAGAGCAATCCATCGAGTAGCAACGGTTGGCAGTTGGTGTTTTTACCAAGCCACACGGAAAAGTGTGTCAAGACGAGAAATTTGCCACTGATGGCACTTTGGGTGCAATTTTAATGGGCGCTGGTTGCACCTAATCTGGCTTGCGGAAGCTGGAGGGGAGGGTTGTAAGATGGTTTGCACAGAAATCTGGGTACTGTTTAAGTGATTGTATATCCCGTTAAGCCTCTGAGTGTAGTGGTTTTGGGTGCAGTACAACACATCTTAGATTGCGTGAAGCCGAGCACGATGCCTCCGGGCCTCCAGCCTACACTTTTGGACTCAGGCAACTGCGTGGCCAGACGGAACCATCGCTTCTTCACTCTCATGGCAGCTTTGCTGCAATTGAATATGTGTCAAAGCCAGGGACCCCTCAAAAACACACACAAACAAACACAAACACAAGCACGACACAAACACGACACGACACGACACGACACGACACGACACGACACGACACGACACGACACGACACGACACGACACGACACGACACGACACGACACGACACAACACACAAGACACAACACACACACACACACCACACGCACGCACCACACACACACACACACCCACGCCACGCCACGCCAGGCCAGGCCAGGCCTGCAGGCCAGGCCGCGCCACGCGCCGCGCGCCACGCGCCACGCGCCACGCGCCACTTCACATGTGCAATGGTCATTTGACAATCCAAATAGCAAGGCCATGTCTCCAAAGCGGGTGTAATGGCGGTGTCCCGGCAAACACAGAATCAAGTTCAACAGTTGCTTGACAAAAGAGCTTCCGAACAATGTCAAGTATCAAGCTTGTGCTTTTTCCCACCCTGATGGTTTTGAGCATCTCCTTTCGGGCCAATGTAACGTGAGCTTGCCTTTGTGACCATGACCCCTCACCACGACCCCTGACCACGACCCTTGACCGCGTTTCCCGGTGCTGCTTGTTTGTTTGTATGTCGGAGCCAAGGTGGTTTGTGGCGCCACTGCGTGGAGCATCAGTTTGATCTCCACGATCATGGGGGTGATCGAGGCACACAGCAAACAACACGCCGACACGCGTGTTGCGGCAAGACGTGCGGAGTGGATCTTTGGTTGCGTCGCGCGCTAAGGTGTGAGAACATGAGTGGGAACGGCGTCACGACGTTACCGCGAATGAACGTGCAGAGTTGAGGGTTCGAAGCGCCAGCCGGGCACGGGGATGTTTTTGGTGCGTGGCCAATGGGAATTCCCTTTGAGGTGAGAACGTTGTCAAGGTGGGCATCAACAAATCTGGTTGCGCATGGACTATGTTTCACCAAAAGGCAGCAACCCGGAACAGGATCACTTTCGAAAACTAGCATGGTTCAAGCCGCATGTCCAAACTGCACGTGTTCCACCATTTCAGGATAAACAACGGCCAATGTTAGTTTTACCTGTATGTACCGAGCATTGCTTGAAAGTCAATGGCAATTCGGAAATCAAATTATTCATAGAAGCCCTCTTTGTTCGGAGGGGGGCACTTGCTGGATGTTGACCGTGGCTCCATTCCTTCAAAGGACTTCCTCATTTAGTTTCCTTCTAGGAGGGTATTCCCAAGTGGCCCTCCCTTAAAGAAACAAACAATAGGGACGGGAGTCAAGGTTGCCCATGTTTCCACGGCACGTTCTTTTTTTTCAGTGAAGAAGCAAGTTCGGCGAATTGCCGTCGAGCTGATCTTGTTCGTTCTGTTTTGCAGGAGACGCCTGGGCGACTCGACGCTCTAGGCTGGAACACCGTCATCGCAGTCGTCTACTTTGCGCCCCGGCATCTGTTTTTGTCTGCTGAAAACTTGCTTGCTCGTCCTATGAGTGGCTACTTCGGGCACCCATTGGGGTTGCTCGGTTTGCTTTTTGGATTCTTGCGTGAATCCATCATTGTTGTGGGAGACTGGGTAATGTCGGCCATGCTCCGAACAAGGCGAGGTAGGCATGCAAAGGAAACATTAACAGGTGGTTCCCTTTCCCTTTGCAGGAAACCTGACAAGGGCAATCACCCTCGAACAAGACACACCCGCGTGTTGAACACGTCCCCGTTGCAAGTGAATTTTCATTTATGGTCAGACCGGTGCAGTGGCCTGGCTTGAAATAGTTACTCATGTTGCTCGTCCATGTTGTTGCTTCATGGTCCTTGGAAAACGCCGATCAGATGCTCCAGGTTCACGAACGAAGCACCTGGATTTCTTATTTGCAAGTGACTTGAGCCCACCTCTCAGACGCTGAGTGCGTCGTTTTCCGTCCTTCGCCCTTCCCGGCCGGTGCCGGCCGTGCCAAGGTATGGTCCTTGCTGGGTCTCTCCTTCCTGGTGCCCTTTTCGTGCCTCGGACCGGTCCTGTTGAAAACATGGCACCGTCTGCCGAAGCGATGTCGTTGGAGTGGTTTGGGGTTTAGGGTTTAGGGCGTAGAATTAGATCAGATGGTTGTGTTTTTCCCCCTGCGTGTTTGTTTGTTTGCCCCCCAGTCAGACGACTGTTGGCCCCTCAAATCATGGTGGACTGATGAGAATCATTCAGCTAGAAGCGCAGCTTTCGAAGGAGGGAGATGCTGGACACGTGCCGTGCGTGTCAGGGTGGCTGCCCAAAGTGTTGATTGGCTGAATCGGTAAACCATTTAAGCGCAGGGCGTCTCAGTGTTGGTTGAATTATGTCAGACTATAGATTCCCCCATTTCCAACTTCCGCCAGCTTGGGGCTTCCCACACCAAAAGCTTGGGGAAGAAGTTGCGCGCTTCCAGGGGGCAATCGAGAATTGGGGTGCAGCCACACACAGCTCGAGCCGTTGGAAGGGCGGTTTCGGTGGGGGATGATCTGAAAATGGGTGTACCAAGGTATCACGCATTCGGCCGCCCTGTGGTTCTGCTATTTGAGCATGTCACAGCCGCAGTTGTCTTCACTGATGCTCTAGCTGATTCATGTCACCTCAGCAAACATGATCAATGCTGCGGTCCAAGCTGCCGGAATTTGGATCGACGCCGCATTGGACCGATTAAAAATGGACTGCTTGTAGCTGCAGGGTCCAAGGTGGTTTTCAATTGGCTTCAAAGCCAGGTGCGAAATGTCACGGGACTCAGAACAGGGCCTGGCCATTCTGGCTTCCCGGTAGCTGGCCCTTCTGTTTGTGTGTTGTTTTGAACATTGCCTTGCGACCAGATACCTGCGTTTGGTGGGCAATCACACGCCTCAGGTTGTTTCATTTGTCGGCCTTGATCTTCAATGTCACCAGCCGCCGAGCTGCACATACCATGGCAATCCACTGGGCCTGATCATCCCGTGGATGCAGGAGGTCGCAGCAATGAGTCCAAAGAAGCCAGGCCCCTGCCCGTTTGCTCAACTCAAGCAGACGCCCTTTGAGAAGTTGTGTTGTTCTTTTCCGGTGTTACGACAAATCTAAGCAGACCAAAAAAAAGCCCAGCATTGGTGCAAGGGAGTGGGACATGGCGGCTGTCATGTTCGTGCCCAAAACAAGAAGTATTTCAAGGGTCCGTGCCTTCCCAATAGAAACCCAAGAGGTGCGAACACGCCTCGAAAAAAAATCCCCCGATGATATATGTGTCAAAGGTTGCAGCTCGAAACCTGCGCCACTCCAATCAAACGGATTACTGAGCTAAAGCTGTTCCAAGCAAACAAGTCGTAAGCTAACTTAGCCCAGGCAAAGCCATTGTTCTATTTTCAGTTGCTGATCAATCAAACTGACGGCCCTGACATCCCGGCAAGTCCATGCACACGGCTTAAGGATCAGTTGCAAGCATCAGCAGGTTGTGGCCGACCCCACGAGTTACATGTCCTTCTGATAGCATGGCTTCAGCCGATCTCGGATTTGGCAACCGCTTTCTCTGCGTCGCTCAGGTCACAAGTTCAACGAGCCCTGTGGGAAAGTTGTCCCTTATCCTGGTGAACCCAATCAACATGCGCCATGATGCATCAACAAAAACCTTCACTGCTTACCGTTGCTTCAACGGAAGCCACAAATCAACACACTCAGCTTTAGGGCTTCCTTGTTCTGGACGTGCTGATTAAAGCTTGAACAGCGGTTTCTCCGTTTCCACGTTTTCGGGTCGTCGCTATCCAATGAATCAATGGCCAAATATGATCTGACAGCTGCGTGCAGGCTGCGAGTGGCGAGGAATTTGAATAGTTCTGGGCATAGCAACTTCATTTCAAAGTCAACCTCAGACAATCGTGGCAATGAGAACACTGTCCTTCAACGTGAGTGACATGGACCAAAGGCCCAGGATCCAAATTTGGGGAGCTTCTGGGGCGAACTTGGTGCTATCCACTGATTGCGAAGTGGATCCGGTGCCCATGTTCCTTTTGTCCACTTGGCTTCCCCCAATATTACCACTACCACTACCACCGCTGCTACCACTTCTAGCACTTCCTACTCTCCAACCCAAAAACCCGGCTTGGTGCACATACCCTTTTGGCAGGCAACATTCCATTTGGACACAGGGGTTTTGTTCCCAAACAGTTTACTGTAGGGGTCCTTGATTCTTTTTACATAGACGGGCTCGTCTGGACGGGTTCCTTCCACTCTGTCTCCCCCCTGTCTCCCCTTGTCTCCCTTCATATGTGCTCCAAACTCGGTTTGGTTGGACGGGCTCCTGCCGCCTTGTCTCCCTTTTGTCTCCCCTTGTCTCCCTTCATATGTGCTTCAGGCCGTGTTCGGTTGGACGGGTTCCTGCCGCCTTAACTCCCTTTGTCCCCTTGTCTCCCCTTGTCTCCCCTTGTCTCCCCTTGTCTCCCCTTGTCTCCCCTTGTCTCCCCTGGTCTCCCCTTGTCTCCCCTTGTCTCCCCTTGTCTCCCCTTGTCTCCCCTGGTCTCCCCTTGTCTCCCCTTGTCTCCCCTTGTCTCCCCTTGTCTCCCCTTGTCTCCCCTTGTCTCCCCTTGTCTCCCCTTGTCTCCCCTTGTCTCCCCTTCTCCCCCTGTCTCCCCTTGTCTCCCCTTGTCTCCCCTGGTCTCCCCTTGTCTCCCCTGGTGTCTCCCCTTGTCTCCCCTTGTCTCCCCTTGTCTCCCCTTGTCTCCCCTTGTCTCCCCTTGTCTCCCCTTGTCTCCCCTTGTCTCCCCTTGTCTCCCCTGGTCTCCCCTGGTCTCCCCTTGTCTCCCCTTGTCTCCCCCCTGTCTCCCCTGTCTCCCCTGGTCTCCCCTTGTCCCCTCTCCCCCCTGTCTCCCCTTGTCTCCCCTTGTCTCCCCTTGTCTCCCTTGTCTCCCCTTGTCTCCCTTGTCTCCCCTTGTCTCCCCTGGTCTCCCTTGTCTCCCCTTGTCTCCCCTTGTCTCCCCTTGTCTCCCCTTGTCTCCCCTGGTCTCCCCTTGTCTCCCCTTGTCTCCCCTTGTCTCCCCTTGTCTCCCCTTGTCTCCCCTTGTCTCCCCTGTCTCCCCCTGTCTCCCCTGGTCTCCCCTGGTCTCCCCTTGTCTCCCCTTGTCTCCCCTTGTCTCCCCTTGTCTCCCCTTGTCTCCCCTTGTCTCCCCTGGTCTCCCCTTGTCTCCCCTTGTCTCCCCTTGTCTCCCCTTGTCTCCCCTGGTCTCCCCTTGTCTCCCCTTGTCTCCCCTTGTCTCCCCTTGTCTCCCCTTGTCTCCCCTTCTCCCCTTGTCTCCCCTGGTCTCCCCTGTCTCCCCTTGTCTCCCCTTGTCTCCCCTTGTCTCCCCTTGTCTCCCCTTGTCTCCCCTGGTGTCTCCCCTTGTCTCCCCTTGTCTCCCCTTGTCTCCCCTTGTCTCCCCTTGTCTCCCCTTGTCTCCCCTTGTCTCCCCTTGTCTCCCCTTGTCTCCCCTTGTCTCCCCTTGTCTCCAGGCTGGGTCCTTCAAATGTGCTTCAGGCTGGGCTCGGTTGGACGGTTCCTGCCGCACTTGTTTCCATTTGTCTCCCCACTTGTTTTCTGATGCGCTTGCTGGCCTGGATGCTGTGACGAGATGGTCTGGCTCGGCCAGCTCTTTGTCTCCCCACTTGTTTACGTGTGTCTCCCCACTTCTCACGAGATGGACTGGCTCTGTCGGCTCTTTGTCTGCTCACTTATGCGCTTGCTGGGGTGGATGCGGTCACGAGATGGTCTGGCTCGCTCAGCTCTTTGTAATCTCTCCCTCCCGCATTCCACACGTCTCCACAACCTCCCTCGCACACTTGTCTCCCCACTTGTTTCCTCGCGCTTGCTGGTCCGGGCTGACTGCTGTCGCGTCATGGTCTGGCTCGGTCACCAGTCTTTGTCTCCGATTGTCTCCCCACTTGTTTTCTCACGCGCTCGCTGGTTTGGGCTGACTGCTGTCGCGAGATGGTCTTGCTCGGTCACCCACTCTTCCGTTTGTCTCCCCGCTTGTTTTCTTGCTCGCTTGCTGAGTTGGATGCCGTCACGAGATGGCCGGGCTCGGCCAAACTGTCCTCCCACTTGTTTCCTCACGCGCTTCCCTCTCGCGCATCGCGCGCTCCGGCCCTTTTTGCAGGTCTGCGCGCTCCGCGTGCTCCCTTCCCTCTTCTGCCGGCGCACTCCGCGCGCTGCGCGTGTTGCCTCACGCACTTGCTGGGCTGACTGCTGTCGCGAGATGGTCTGGCTCGGTCACAAGTCTTTGTCTCCATTTGCCTCCCGACTGGCTGTCAATAAATGGTTTGGCTCGGTCAGCTCTTTCTCTCCCCACTTGTTTCCAACTGTCTTTCCACTTGTCACGCGCTTGCTGGGCTGGATGCTGTTACGGGATGGTCTGGCTCGGTTAGCCCTTTGTCTCCCCACTTGCTTCCACTGGTCTGGGTGCTCTCACGAGATGGTCTGGCTCGGTCACAAGTCTTTGTCTCCATTTGCCTCCCGACTGGCTGTCAATAAATGGTTTGGCTCGGTCAGCTCTTTCTCTCCCCACTTGTTTCCAACTGTCTTGGCTCGGTTAGCCCTTTGTCTCCCCACTTGCTTCCACTGGTCTGGGTGCTCTCACGACATGGTCTGGCTCGGTCAGCTCTTTGTCTTCCCCTTGTCTTCTTTTATATGTCCTGCAAGACACTTTATTGCTGGACGGCGCTTTGTCTGTGCTGCAAAGCCCGTCAACGTCGGACGGCGCTCTGTCTCCCCCTGTCTCTCAACTGGGCCTTTTCCAGGAAAGCGCCCTGCCGCAAGCTACGTTTCACGAGGTCTGGTTGAAACTGTTTGGGGTCTTCGGTGGTGTTAACTATTCTTAGTTTTGTGTGCCAAAGCCCTATCATGCATTCCAACACCACCCTGCGGGCCAATTTAAAGGAAGTTTCCTGTAGGTAGGGTGATGCGTTCAGGGTGAACGTGTTGAAACTCCTGAGCGTGTACCCCACTCCTCCAAAAATGGTATAACCCAGAAGCAATACGCATATACATATTAATATATAACGTATCTAACATGTGCAAAATTGTTGCTGTTTTGTCAAAACTATGTTTTTTGACCCAGAGGCGATCATTTTCGCCTGCCGGCAGTTTTCAGTGTTTGCACACTCTAGCATCCATGAAAATTGCAAAATGGCGTAGTTTGCTGGCAAAACGGCGTTTTGTTTTTGCTTGGTCACGAGCTGGACTCACGGCGAGCGTTTTTTCCTCCGAAAACACGTTTCAGCAACCAGCAAAATTACACCAGCAGAGACCCCAAACAGTTGAGGGCTGACGGGCGAGCACAAACATGCCAACAGCTTGTGGCTTTCTGCGCTTCAACACGGATGAATCAAAATGATGCAGTCGTGAACCTGGCGCGCGTTGCGTTGCTGCACGTGTGTTGCTGGCATGCTTCGCGCTTCAGCACCGCGCCAGAACTGAGGTTGGGCAAGCGCGCGCGATGGCGGGCGAGCGCGCGCGCGTGAACGCAAGTGTGGCCGCGCAAGCACGCAGTCACATGGGCAGTTCAAACACACATGTCCAATTCAGACACACATGTGTGTACACGTGGAACACACATACGTATACGACTGAAACAGTATACATTCACCTGCGGCACACGCATAAATGTGTTGAGCTGGAAAACAAACATGTGCTTCTTGGAAAGCACACACACACATGTGCAAACGTGGAACGCACATATGTGTTCACTTACGACACGCTAATGCGTTCACGTGGAACACACATGTGTGTTCACTTGGAACACAATGAAACGCGTGTCCAATTCAGACACACATGTGTGTACACGTGGAACACACATGCGTTCACCTGGAACACAAAGACGCGCAATTAAAGCACACATGTGTGTACGCGTGGGACACACATATGTATACCACTGGAACACAAACATGTGTC